GACTCAATGGCACCTGACAACAACAACAACATCATTTTATACCTGTCATCCACTTCTCTCCCTGTAATGGACTGAATGTTCCCTAAAGAGATATATTGAATTCCTAACCCCTGTACCTGTGAATGTACACTTATTTTAAAACAAGGCCTTTGTAGAGGTAATCTAGTGAAATGAGGTGATACTCGATTGGTGTGGGCCCTTATCCAATATGACTGGTGTCCTTATAAAAAGGGAAGAGACACACACAAAGGAGAAAGCCATATGAAGAAAGAGACAGAGATTGGCGTATGCATCTACAAACCAAGGAATGCTGCCAATGTTAATAACCACCAAAAGCTAGAAAAAGCAAGGAAGGAATCTTACCAACCCTTGGTTTCAAATTCTTGTCTCAAAAATTATGACAGAATAATTTCTGCTATTTTTAAACTACCCAATTTGTGGCAACTGGTTAGGCCACCCAAACAAATCCAGTCTTAGGACTAAGAGTTTTCCTGGACTTATGAAGATCAAATTCTACCCTTATCTCTTTGTTTAAACATGAAACATCAACACTTTCATGAGAAACTGTCCAAGAATGTTTCTTTTAGTGTGAAAACCTTTTCTTGACTTTTTACAATAGTGGAGAAGCTGGCTTATTTTGTACTTTGCTAGAAATTTTAAGTGTATTGTGATTCTTCTGTTCCTTAGACACAGGGAAATGATCTGATTACTTGATTGTACTGTATAACTCACTTTTGTCCAGGTAAGAATTCTGTGCTGCCAAATCATTGGATTACCCTCTAATAAATTTCCCCTTTAATAGGGAACATATTCTCTGGAAGAGATCACATTAGAAGGTCCCTGATAAAGTGGGAGGAGAAAACATGGAACAGAAGTCAAAATTATTAAAAAAAAAAAAAAAAAAAGGCTGGGTTTACTGATCTGGTCGAGACTGGAGGAACCCAAGACTATGGCCCTCGACCACCCTTCAGGTTTGGAACGGAACTCACTCTCATCACCCAATTTTCAGCCAAGCAATAGTATATCGGCGGACAACACTGATAAGGTCTGCTCACCATGAAATGGTCAAGCATTCAACAACAAAAGGGCAACATTTACCTAAAGACCAAGTTGAGAAGGGATAGGAAGGAAGGTGGGACAGAAATAAGCACAGGGAGGAAGTAGGAAAGCTTGTTACAGGGAGGGGATTGCATTCGCTGAGATGAAACCAAGAACATGATTTGTTGAATGTAACACTGATGATCTTCCCTGTAAACCTTCATTCAACTCACAATATAAAGTTTAAAAATAAAAAGATAGCATAATATCTTTTACCTTTGGCAGTATAACAACTGAAGTTCAGAAAATCAAAAAGGATCCAAAGTATTTTCATGTAAAAATGTGTAGGACATTGTGTCAAGCTTCATATTTTATCTGCTCTCTTAATGTCTCATCCTGAATTGAAATTGTATTTCAGCATGCTGTTATTAATGTTATCATACATGCCATCGAGATGGTTCTGACTCACAGAGACCCATGAACAACACAACGAGACACTGCTGATCCCTGCACCATCCTCACAACTGTTGTTATGCTAACAACAACAACAACAAAGTCCTTATTCCCAAATAAAGTCATATTCTGAGGTTCTGGGTGAACATGAACTCTTGCGGGTTACTACCGAACCCAGGATAGGACTTATCTTCCACAGAAGCCCTTTACTGCTATATACAACAATTCAAAGTCCCTCCCCCACCCCCACTTACCCACCAGTGATACCTCAAGTGGAAGAAAACAACATCCCTATTAGGTGGATGTGAGAAATATCCTGGCTTAGAATCCTCATGGCCCATAAGACGCAGGATCTTTTATAGCAACTCCATTGACCTAGGCTCCAGGGTCCCTACAAGGGAGCTGCCCAGATACAAGCATCTTCAGACTCATGGAAGCCCAAAGTATTGCCTTCCCATCAGATATTTATAGTTCATGTCTAAATCCTCCCAGTCCAAATGCAATTTACCAACCAAGCATCACTTTTACCGCAAGCAGTATGTTACCTAGCAACAGAGTTGACCTTCTGTTTCCAGATAAGGATTCAGAGGAACCTAAAGAAAGAGGTAGGATAGGATCCAAGCACTGGTCTCTCAAGATATGTAGTTTTAATTGGTAAAGCAAGGGAAAGGTATTTCAGAAGGCCAGTAGGAGTCATATAAATATAGGCAATAAATTGTTGGAAACATTAAAGGAACAATTAGTGAGACAGTGATTTATAATTCCGTGTGAGTTAAAAATTGGAGAGTATAGCAATGCAGAGAAGAGAAATATAAGTTGGGTCTATTTGTGTCAGGGTAAGGGATTTGTAATTTATTCCCTTGGTGTTGGGGAACAGACCTATGCTTTAGGCCAGCTAATTCAGTGGTGTTAGTCTAGAGTAAGAATTGTTGTTAAGTGTCTTCCAGTCGGTTCCAACTCATAGCAACCCTGTGTAGGGTTTCTGAGGAGTGGCTGGTGAATTTGAGTTAGAAAAAAAGGAAAACTAAAATGAAGAAAAATTGGGGTGGGACAAGATTGGAGGCTACGTAAGCAGATGAACTGTCACTTCTCTTATGGAATAAAGGAACAACAAAGACAATACCTAGACACACGTACCTGCCCTGTGTTTTGTGCTGTCTTCTGTTCCTTTCTTTGCTCAGAGACTATAATTTCTCCTTCACAGAATTGAAAAAAAAAATTAATACTAACCACTGATTCCAAGGAAGTTATCTGATAAAATTTGCTGGCTGACAGCAAACTGATTTTCTAATGATAGAAATGTTACACTTTTGCAAATTCAAGAGGAGCTGAGCATACAAAGGAGTTTAATAATATAATTATCTATACTAAATGGAAAAGAATAAAACATCCTTAGAACTAATTCTAGAAGTGATTCCTATAAGCATAATATTCACCTTCCTCCTTTTGTATTTTTAGTTACAATATAACTCCGTCCTCAAGTTTTCTCCCCCCACTCAGGGAAGATAGGAAACATGTCTGTCTTCTGTGCCATTGTATCCCCTGCACCTCACACAGTACCTGACACAGGGTAGGGAGGTAGTCAATAAATCAATGAATGACTTCCCTTTGTCAAGATGCTGCTCTTCTTGTAAAGCTCAGCTCAAATTATATCACATTGTTTCTTTTGTGAAAATGGAACCTTGACAATTATCATCCTAATCCAAACCAATGGTCTCTAGCTAGACCACCACAATAAATTTGAATCTGTCTAGGTTGTTGTTGTTGTTGTTAAGTGTCATCGAATCTGTTCCGATCCATAGTGACCCTGTATGGGGTTTCAGAGGAACAGCTGGTGACCTTGAACCTCCGGCCGTGCAGTTCAAATGGCTTGCAGTTTAGTGCATTAACCCACATCACCATTTAACTACTTGAATTAATTTCTTATTGATCCTCTGTGACCTGGATAATTACAAATGTATCTTATATCTGTCCTGGCTATCTGTCTTACCTTTCTACAATTGAATTTCCAACACTG